ATTTAATTCATCAGCTAATTTATCAGTCACCAAGTAGCTTATTAGCTAGTTTGCCAAATAGTCGCCTACCACAAATGGCGAATGATTACTCCTCTGGTCATCCCGTCTCTAGCTCGGTTGGAAATTCTCCCACATCCACTTATGTACCTTTATATGGTTTAAGAAGAGAGACGTGAAAGACCGGGTGAATACGACTAAAACTTGGCAGGTCCAACTTGTAGGCCACCGCACCAATTCGATCTGTAATGGTAAAAGGACCCTAAAACCTCTTTGGCCAACTTGTTAAAAAGTCGAGAAGCAAATACTATCTGTCGGTACATTTGTAACTTGACAAATACTTTGTCCCCCACCTCAAATGTGGCATTCCTACGCTTACAATTAGCTATCATCTCCATACGGTGCTTGGAAACAGTCAAGTTCGTCTTTAATTGGCGCAATAATGCATCGCGTTCGGTTAGCGTCTCATCCACAACATCTATTTTGGATGTCCCTTATATATATGGAATCAATGGTGATGGTGGCCTACCGTACAAGGCTTGAAAGCGCAACATCTTTATACTACTATGATAACTCGAGTTATAACAATACTCGGCCCAATTTAAGAACGAAACCCAACATTGAGGACACTCAAACACCATTGGTCATAAATATTGCTCCAAGCCCCTATTAACTACTGTAACACCCGAATTTTTTGTTTCCCTTATTCCCCGTTCCGTGTGCAACAAGGGTTTTCGTCTCGTTAGCAAGGTATGCATTTCTTTAACTATTTAAAGTTTAAGATACCTTATTATGTCTTTTAGAACCTTCTTTGAAATAAATGTATATATATATATATATATATTGATAAAGTTTAGGGGATGTCTGTTTTTGACTCTGTAGAGTGAAAAAGGGGGGGGGGGGGTTTGACCTGCAGCCCTAGTATCCTACCCCTATCTTTAGTGTACACTCTTCCCTTTGTGGTCCCTTGCTTTCTGATAAGCATGGTTTATTACATGCTTAAAGTACCTATTTCTTATGTTTAATAGGTAGATTTTCATAGTTTATCCCAACCTTGAGTCATTTTTACTTCCTTATTTTCCATTTGTTATGTTTGGAGCTAAATGTGATGATGAATTTGTTTTTACAACAATTTGGAGTAAACACTGCACTGTAATGCTGCAGCATTCCAACAGCATTGCCCGGTTGCATTTTGGCTTTTTGAAGAAGTGCTTATTGGTTAAGCCATTGTCTTGGATGGAGGTCTGAGCTGAAGAAGCCCTCGTTTTGGACCCTTAACAGCTCGTAAAATGATGTGGAGAAGACTTTTTGGTTGACTTGTTTTGATGGAGATGATATCTCCTTTTTCTAGTCTTCTCACATGTACTTTGTACTTCCTTGTATTTGTTTTGTCTTTTCTTCATTTGGTGGGTATAAAAGAAGGCCTTTGGCTTCTTTTTAGAATACACCTCTTGGACGATTATTGTTCTAAGTTATACTCCCAAAACTCTCTCATCTTATTATTAGTATTTACAAGCTTTTTAGTCTTTATTTAATTATTGTTCTTCATATTTTGTCTTTTATTTATTGTCATTTACTTTCCGTATTATTTTTCGTCTTTACTTTCCGTCATTTACTTTCAGTTATATACATTCATGTCTTTACTTTACGTCATTTATTTATGTCATTTACTTTCCGTAATGAGTAGSTAATTCCATTAGCTCGGGTGTAGGGTAAAGGGTGAAATGTTAAACCGAATGAAAGTGGACATTGTTTCGCAATAACAATGTTCCACTATTTCATTCAAGTTTTATAAAACCAAGCACACTTCTTGACGAGTTGATCACTTTGAAAGTGTTAAAGTGCCATGGACTTAGAGGTAAGCTATGATAAGCACGTCAGCTTGAATGATATGAGAGGTAGACTTGAGAAAGTTGCCGACAAGGAGACTTGTYATTTATGTTTTTCAAACTTAACTCCCGACGGGTTGGTCACTCTCTAAAAGTGTCAAAGTGTGATAGATTCAGAGATGAACTATCAAGAACACGCCAACTTGAATGATATGGGAATCAGCTCGAAAGAGTGATTTTTAACAAAGAGATTTGTTTAGCCATATATCTTGAAGACACCATTTTGTCACTATCCCTGGTCCGAACATCACATAGAGATATGGGTGCAAAGCTATAATATAGTGCAAAGRTGAAGTCCGAGAGGAATACCTTCAAGATAAATGGTGGGACTGGTTCTTCCACAGCTTTGTCTGCTGGATTTCGTGTTTACATTTCACCCCAAAATCTTACACTCGTGCTACCTTTATTATTCAGTTTTATTATTCTGCTTTATTACTCTGCTTTATTATTCCGTTTTATTATTCTGTTATATTACCTGTGTTAACGTGGATCCAAACTGAAGTCTTCGTTTTCGTCATCTGAAATCTTTTCTTTTATTAGACTCTTATTGAACTTTTGCTCCAATCCCTGTGGACGATATTCCAGTACTTGTACCACTTTATTACTTGGAAGACGACGTTGGGCCGTATTGTATACTTGATTTGTGGCCCAATTTCATTAAGTCTAAAGGTAAAGGATTTGACCGACCAAGTTTTTGGCGCCGTTGCCGGGGACTGGAAAGCTTAAAGTTTTCTTTTGAGTAAAGTAAAAGATTTGATTTTTCTAGTACCTGTTTTTGAAAAGTGGTGTATGCCAAGAACACATCACGGGGAATTTTTCGAATTTGTTCCAGGCATTGAGAGAACGTTTCACCATAGAAGGAGGGCTCAGAGAGCATTTCAGGCTCTACTCCCTCCCAACATGGAGTTACCTGCTCCCAACATTCCAGAAGTACCACATTTGGAAAACCAACCGCCAATTTTTGGGCAAATACCACCATTCCCAATTTTTCACCAAGGAAACCCACATCATGAAAATGATAATAATTTGGACACAGAATCGGACCCTAATGAGCAACAACGGGCACAAACTTCAAACATCATTAATCTGGCAAATTCCAAAAATGGACGGATCATGGATTATGCTATCCCGGATTTTGAGCAATTAAATTCTGGGATAGTTAGACCACATATGACCGCTCTCCATTTCGAGCTAAAACCGATAATATTTCACATGTTACTGACTAATGACCAATTTGCTGGACTGCCCTCAGAAGACCCACATTCTCATTTAAAGTCTTTTCTGGAAATCACAGATGCCTTCCTGATCCCGGGAGTGTCCAATAACGCTCTCAGACTTACTTTATTTCCATTTTCATTACGGGATTGGGCAAAAGCATGGTTTAACTCTTTAACATCAGGATCTGTGCCGTCGTGGGGTAACATGGCGGAAAATTTTTTGCGAAAATATTTCCCACCAACAAGGAACGCTAAGTCCAGAAACGAAATCTGTCTTTTTAAACAACTGGATGATGAGGCTGTTCCTGACGCGTGGGAAAGGTTTAAAAAGCTGTTAAATAAATGCCCACACCATGGCATTTTGTACTGTATTCAACTTGAGACGTTTTACAATGGGTTAAGTCCCATGGCAAAACAAATGCTCGACACGACTGCAGGCGGAGCCTTTACAGCCAGTACCTATAACTGCATAAATCTTGGAATCGCTCCTCCCTGATCATTCCCTGTTATTCCCTACTGGTCCATGTTTTTTTGCAGCATGAATTTTCGTGGCCAAGTTATCAATCTTCTGGGTTAAGACATCGATTTGCTCTTTCATTAGTAGTTGTAGCTCAGCATCCCCTGTTGTTGACAGCACGTGCTCTCAATTAAAAGCTCCAATTTGATAGGATCAAGGGTTGTTTCCAACCACACTCTCCGAGTGAATGCCGATTCCAACGAGGCAAGGAAGAAAACATAGAGAAGAAGAAAGCTTTTTAATCAAACTTGATTAAAATCAATAAAACTTGCAACTGTAAATAACACTCTTGTAATCCTATAATAACTCTAATTCCTAATAAAATACGATAAATATAAAAATACCCTGAACTTAATACTTATCGTCCTATTAATTGTCATCCAACCACGTAATCACCATGCTGAACAGGGGTTGTTGACAATCTTGTAGACTTTCTTGTAGGCTCCCGACCCATCCCTTCAGTTGCATGTTTATCAGAACAATAGATGGTAGGGAAAAGCAGAAAGGGGGAAGATCAATAGGATAGGGAAGGAGGGAGAAAGAGGATCAATGTTGCAGAAGTCAAATTAAATGGGTGGAAAACCCTAAGTTCTAAACTGGTCATTTTTCCCTCTTATGTGAGAAGCTTGCGAGGATGACCCTGAGTTCATTGACCATATATAAATATTATATACTTCAAAAGAAAAGATTTACACGTTCTTACATTTTCTTGATCAATACTCACATGCGGTGTACAATTAATTTTCATATCATCCATATCCTAGCTAAAAAGGTGGGGACGGTCCATCGGTTCCGCTACTTTTAGGGTAACAATCTTTTTTCCAATGCACCGTAACTTGGAAATGAACGAACTCATGACGTAATAGAATTGTGGTATTTAATTGTCATGTAACGGTGCAAATTGTTTCTAATTCACTACGAATACATGAATTGGATACCACCTCATATGATATTATAAGAAAATAATACTACTATACGTCAAAAAAAGACCCATATATACGATCTAGCAACACAAAAAAACAAATTCCAAAGTAAGAAAATTTTGCTTTTCTTTTTTACCAAAATCGATCAAGAACCCTAAAAAGGGTATCTTTCCTGTTTCTGTTTGATTCTCTCAACAAAAAATAAATAGACTTGACGTGTATTACTTGTTGTTCTAGAACCCAAAAAACAAGATTAAAATATGAAATGTGTTGTAATAAAAACAAAAGCAACCACTAGCGATTTTGAAGTCTTGCTGGCAAAAGCTTAAATGCTGAGTTGAGCCTTTTCTGAAATTAACCATTTAGCAGAAGACGCCGAACCCACCTCCATTTCTTATCTCTTTCTTCAGATTAATTATTCCAACAAATATTTCAAGTCTTTTTGTTGAAATCGATCATGAAAATGAGGAGGGAGATGTTGGTTATGATGATAATATGTGAATTCATGATCGGTTTTTCAAAAGCACAACTCAGAGTTGGGTTTTACAATAACGTGTGTCCCAACGCTGAGTCAATTGTTGGTGGATTTGTGAGGGATGCAGCCAAGTCCGATTCTCATATTCCTGCTATCATGCTTAGGCTTCACTTCCATGACTGCTTTGTTGAGGTTCTCTCTCTCTCTCTCTCTCTCTCTCTCTCTATATATATATATATATATATATGCATGTATGTATGTGGGTCTCCCTTAATCTGTTCACCTAAAGCCTTCTTTATTTTGCAGGGGTGCGATGGGTCAATTCTGATAGATGGTGTAAAATCTCAAGAGAAATCTGCATTTGGACATCAAGGGGTACAAGGTTTTGATGTGATAGAGAATGCAAAAGCCAAGTTGGAAAGTGTGTGTCCTGGTGTGGTTTCTTGTGCAGATATTGTTGCCATGGCTGCAAGAGATGCTGTTGCCATTGTAAGTACTAAAACCTTCAACTCTCTCTCTCTCTCTCTCTCACATAAATTACATCGTTTAGTGTGTGTCTGTGTGAGAAAGAGAGTTAAAATTATGTATCTATATATCTTTCCTGTATGTATATATGTTGTGATGAGGATGATGGTTTTGGACAGAGTCATGGGCCAGCTTATGAGGTTGAAACTGGGAGGAAGGATGGGCTGGTGTCGAATGTAGAACTGGCTGACAGATTGCCCGATGTTAAAGATTCAATTCAGCTTCTCAAGCAAAAATTCTTTGAAAAAGGCCTCAACGACAAAGACCTCGTGCTTCTCAGTGGTAATCTCCTCTCTCTCTCTCTCTATATATATATACACACACACACACATATATATATATATATATATATATATACACACGAATGATTGTGTGAGAAGGAAAGTTATGGTAAGAAAAGTTAAAAGAGGTCTTAATCCTTGATATTTTTTATGTCATTTTCATCTATGAATTACGTTTTAGAAGAGAATTGATCTGCACCTCATTAATGTTCACATTCAATTAGTATTGATAGATCTATTCTTACGTTTCTCACCATAACTTTCCTTCTTATCGGAACCCAACCATATATTTATATAGACTTGGGATCATGTGAGACCAGTCTGTTTTCGTAAGACCCGTGAGACCACCTTTTTACATTTGAAACTTCACAGCAAAATGCTGTGAATGTGACTTTTTTTAACCTTCACAGTGTTTTTGCTGTGAAGTTTACGTATAAAAATGTGGTCTCACGGGAGCCCTATATATATACATATAACATATTGGTCTCACATAATTTCAAGTCTCTCTCTCTCTATATATATATATAGAGAGAGAGAGAGAGAGAGAGATTGTGAAGGTAACCACAAGGGTGGTGTCTGATTAGTTTGAACTTGGCTCCAAAGGTCAAAAGTATCTGGAGGTCCCATGTTCAAATCCAAGGAGAAATAAAAATCCCCTTATGGCCACGGAGGTTCGAATGCGGTTACTCCGAGCCATCTACAAAGCAGGTGATCACTTGGGATTAGTCGGCTCGCATAGCGGGTTGGATATCCAGGTCAATAAAAAAAGCATTGTGAAGGTAACCTTCACAGTGTTTTTGTTGTGAAGTTTCGGATTCTTTTTTACCTTCACAATATGTTGCTATGAAATTTCAAGTATAAAAATATAGACTCACAAAAACAGTCTAGTCTCACGTTAACCTAACCCTTGATGATTGCTAGGATAAAAGAGAACACATTGATGAGCGTGTAGTATTTACTCTATTTGTGATCGTAGCAACAGCCAACTGTCTCCTGTTTCATGCCTCAAATACTTGGTTTTAAAGTTCAAATCTTTCTTCCCCTCGTTGGGAAGGTCAAATTTAATGTTATGACGCAATCATGACCCCCCAACCATGTGCATTAAAGATTCTATGTTACCTATTCAATGAGCCATCTGTATAAATGCCAATAAATCCTTATAAAAATCGTCAGCTTAACAACATAATTTATAAACCGGTTTATCCAGACCTTCACAGTGGTCTAACGGAAAATGGTTGTTATATCGATTGATTTCAGCTGCGCATACCATTGGTACAACGGCATGTTTCTTCATGACGCAACGACTGTACAACTTTAAAGAAGGTGGAGGTTTTGACCCGAGTATAAACCCCAGTTTCCTTCCGGAACTGACATCGACATGCCCTAAAGGCGGGGATGTAAACCTCCGCTTGCCGATGGACCGTGGGAGTGGAGAGACCTTCGACAATCAAATTCTACAGAACATTAGGAGTGGTTTAGCAGTGCTACAATCGGATGCGCAACTAATGGATGATCCGACGACAAAGGGAATAGTGAATTCATATTTTGAAACGGGGGCGTCTTTTGAGGCGGATTTCGTGAATTCCATTGTGAAAATGGGTCGAATCGGAACCAAGGACAGCTCTAACGGAAATATTAGACGCGTGTGTAGCTCGTTTAATTAGAATTGAATGATTTTACCCTCACATCACATACTTGTTTTCGTTATATACGTAATTGATCATATTACTAGCATTTTCACCTCACATGAGTTGATATTGTATAACCTTTAATGCCTAATGTGCAATTGTATCTTGAAAAGGTATTACCATCAGTATTCCTAGATTATTAAGCAAGAGTTTGTTGTATTTCGGATCGCAAAATCATAGCCCGAAAAGAACAGTGCTCCCTCAATCTCAAAATAAATGGTCATATAATGAAAAATATGAAGGGCCGTTTATCAAACACTTACCCGGTAAGTGCTTACCGGTAAAATTTAACACTATTATATACTTATCGGGTAAGATTTTAGTCCACCAAGACGACATAATATACAATAATTTACCCGGTAAGCGCTTACCGTGGTAAGAGTCGTCGCCCTCACTTACCGGGTAAGACTCTTGATCCTTATCTCGTTCTTACCGGGTAAGATTCTTGGTTCTTATTATATTCATTCGGTGAGGTAATGTTACTTGGTAATCACTTACCAGGGTAAGCGTTTGGTAAACTGCCCCTAAGTTTTAAAAATGTGTAGTCATTACCTTTTTTAATTAATTAGTGAACAAATGTATCCTTAATAATTGAGAGGGTAATGAATTTATAATCACGAACCTCCAAATCTATGCTTATCTACAACATCTTATCAATTTTTGTGGTGGTAAATCGGAGTTTTTTTTATAAAAAATGTTTGGATTAGCTTATGACGGTATCATACAGGATAAGCTGATAACATAGATGAGATGCATTTTTTTCCCATTCAAACACTAAAAAATTTCTTATTAGCAGTACCATATCGGAATAAGTTAATAAGTTAGACATAAGTAACTTATCAAAAACTTCTTATTACGGGTGTCAAACTGGTATAAGTATTTTCTTTTGTTTCCATCCAAACATTAAGAACTCGTTATAACCGGTATCACACAGTAATAAGTTAATAAACACTTTAAATAAAGCAATCCCAAACACCCCCTAAGTTCAATTAAAACGAGGGGCATTTTTATTTCTTATTTAAAAAGTTAAAAAAGTATAGCAGTATTATTATTATTATTATTATTATTATAAAATAGAGTAAATTATGAATTTTGTCAATGTTTTTGTATGCAAATTTACGGATCGAATTCTCCGTACAAAGTAATTGCGAATTTCATCACTGTGATTTCATTTTTGTTGTGAATTAAGTCTCTTTCTCTAACTATATTATCATAATTCCATTAATTGTGATTTCATTTTCGTTTATTTTGGTTTTGATTTTGTTTTATTCTTGTTGGAATCATGTAACGATTCACATAATTCGACAGTACAATAAGAGAACTCAAATAATAGATTGTATTATTACTGAAGTTTGCTAAGTACAAGAGTACTCGGTAAAGAAAAGTATATGATTCTGGAAGCTAAATTGCTGGAAGATAAAAGGCATAATAGACTCTAGAATAGCGATAGGCCAAAAACAGGTCCTGGGCCGGTCTCAATCGGTCCCAAGATTTCTCGTAATCGGTCCCGGTTCCGGTCGAATAGATGAAGACCGGTCAAGGTGTTTCACAGCCGGTTATTGGCCGCCGGTCCTGGTCCCATCCTTAAAAAATACATTTTTAAAAAAAATTTAATGATATATATTTTTAATACATTATTAAATTTGGCGTACGGGTCACTTAAATACACTTTAAAAATATTTTTTATTATAATTAAAATTACATTGTCTTGTAAAAATTTATTATAAAAGTATTTGAAAATATATTTATTCATCAATCTTCATTGGTATCCCATGTCGGATTGATTTGAAAAGTTCCGATGTCTTGAATTCTTTTAATAGCCTCTTGGTCATCAATGTCGAGTTCCTCATCATCGTCGTATTGTATGTAAGTGTCATCGGTATCGGTAGTTGGCGTCGTGCTTAGTCTCATGGCGATTTCATTTTCTTCCAAATTTTATTCTACCGCTTCAATCTTCATCTCTAACGATGTCGTGTGTTAAATTCTATCAACGCTATCCAAATAATCTTTCAAACAGATGCAACACTTCACGGACTCCGGGCTTAGTCTTGTCCGACGTATGGAAATAATCCTGCCACTAAGAGAAAAAACAGACTTCGAAGCTACGGTACTAGCTTGGATTGTTAGTATATCACGTGCGATGTACACCAAAACCGGGAATTGAGGTTGTTTTTGTTTCCAAAAATCTAATAAATAAATTTTTTCTAAATCTTCAACATCATTTGTGGGGCATGCGACCATAAAGTTAGTATGCACATATTTATTTCACCCAAATCGTTATCAAATCGACTTTTTTACTTGATTCGTTTAAAACCTCGTTCATTAAATTAGTCATCAACTCTTTCCGACTTTGTCGATGACCACTAGAAGAAGAACTAGAACCCGCAAACCCACGACTTGAAGAGCTTTGCTGTTGGTTTCCTCATCTGTAAAAATGTTTGTAATGATCAAATAAATCTTGAAAAATACGATTAAACAAACGTTTTTGTTCTATTGAAAAAGAATTATATGTATTCGTATCTAAACAAAAAGCCACACAGATATTTGTGTAATTAAAACTTCAACAACGGTAACATTTAAATATGGGTTTAACGCCACAACATAAAGAAAAATAAATGTAATGCTCATAAAATATTTTAACAATTTCTTTTTTATTGAAGACATCAACATTCTCCAATCGTGATGGTATTCGTATTGAGCAATCTTACTTGCCAAAATATATAATTGGTTTAAATAAAAGGATTTGTTGGATAATAAATATCGGATAAAAGTGTTGTCGCATTTTTAAAATCGTCTAAAATATCGTACAATCCTTCAATGATGGCCAAATCAAGATTTCAAATAGAATTTTGCAGGTAATGTTGTCTATAAAATGAAAAAATATAATATTTTTGTTTTATAAAATTTTCAATCATAAAATTAGTCGAATTCCAACAAACGGACATATCGAACCTCGGTCCCAAAGCTCTGAAACCAATGTCCTCGCAATACTTTCTATATTCCGCATTCATTTTCTTATTCTTTGTGAAAATTCGCCGCAATATAAGTCTAAACTTATCTATTATAGATTTACAAGTATTTAAACCGTCTTGAATGGGTAAATTTATTATGTGTACTAGAACGTGTATGAAATTATTTACCGTCTAAAATAGGTGTCAAATGACACTTTAATTTTTCCACACAAATATTGTTATTACTAGCATTATCAAATGAAATGCTAATTATTTTAGCAGTTAAATTATAAAATACAAGACATTTTTTAATAATTGAAAATTGACGTGCACCCTAATGTGGTGCACCAAACGGTTCAAACGCGATTACATGTTTGAATAAATGCCACGATGAAGACTCAACCCAATGTGTCGTTATGGATATATACAAACTGGCAATCCGTATGGTGTGCTCCATACATCACACGTTAAAGAAAATATTGTTAGGCAAAACAGAAAACATTTGCTGCATTTCAACTCGACACGTTTTCCACATTTTTAGCATCACGTCTAAGGGTTTGACGACTTACCGGCTTGTATCGTGATTGTAGTGTCTTTTGGATCAATTTCGTAACGTGAGGGTTGTCGAAATGTCCGAAAGGCAACCCGAATTTAATGACCCATTGTATTGTCATTTGTCGGTTCAACTCGGCATCATACGACCATATTTGACCTTGAATGTCAAGTATCGGTTGGTTTGAATCGCCCCCTGACCTCAACCCCGGGCACGTTTTTTCGGTGTGCCTCCTTAAGGTAGAATTTTTTTTCCGCCGTAAGGAGAGCTTGACACATTTTGTATTGTGTCTTTTTTTTTCCCATTCGTGAGGACCACCAAGTTGTAGTGATCCCAAATCTCGGACTTTCGTTCGTGTTCGGCGAGAACTTGGGCAACTTGTTTGTTTGATGCATCATGTTGTTCACCGGCCATTTTGTAAGACAAATAGAGAAAGAAATGTGAATTGTGGAAGTGGAAATGATAAATGAATACGAGTAGAATTCACAAAATATAGTGAGAAACCGAAAATTGTGAATGTTTTTTTGCGTTTTTTGCGAATTGAGAACTTGGTCCGCTCTCAACCTTATTACATACTTATGTTAAGAAGCCAAAAAATACAAAAAAAATGGTCAAAAAATTTGAATTTTCGGGCCGGGCCGGGCCATAACCGGTCCCAGTCCCACAAAACCGACAAAATCCATAACCGGATGTAACCGACAGTCCCGGTTCCGGTCCTCCGGCGGTCCTGGGCCGGGCCGGTTTGTCCATCATAACTCTAGAAGAAGAAGAAGAATAATAAGAGAGAAGGAAGAGAATTGTTAACAAACTGCCTGCCCCTCTAAATAACCCATCCATCGGCATGATTTCTGTTAGGGATTCTCTTTCTGCTGCCTTTTCTTGTTAGTTGTATGAAGAGAATATCAGTGTTGGTTATGCCAGGTGTCCCGTTTGGTATTTCCTGATTTGGCATAACAAATCATTGGACTAAAGAAACTGATAAGGTTGATGGATCCAATTGAAGCCTTCTTTTAAGTGATTAGAAGACATAATACTAAACTAGAAACAGGGATAATTAATCACGGATTTTCTGGAAAAAAATATTGTTTCTTCAAAGAATTAGGAACGTGGAGTCGTCATACGAAAGTTCATAAAAAATTTGTTTATGTTATGTGTTGTATTTTATTATTAAATCAAACATTTGAAGTAACCTCTACTAAAGAATAAATATTATTGGTCCAATAAGTTAACAAAGTTAACACCATTTTTTTTTATTTATCTGGATATTCAACCCGCTATGCGAGCCGACTAATCTCAGGACGACCACCTGCTTTGCAAATAGACCGGAGTCACCGCATTTGAACATTCGTGGCCACAAGGGGATTTTTATTTCTCCTTGGATTTGAACCTCAGTCTTCCTGATACTTTTGATCTTAGGAGTCAAGCTCAAACAAATCAGGTACCACCCTTATGGTTAAGTTAACACTATATTCTTGATTAACAAAAGATCTTACCCCTATATATATATATATATATATATATAGAGAGAGAGAGAGAGAGGGAGAT